GAGTCACGGAACGGATTAAGTTCGTAAGTAGAGGTACCACTGTATACATATCTATCTATCTCACAGTATATATTCTTCATTGCTAATAGTCATTTTGACTAATCCCTTTTGAAGTCATCCAAATTGGTGGTCATTTTGTGGTTAGAAATCTCATTCGTGTATCTGCTGTGTGAACCCTTTCTTATAGCTGTTCTGTTCTCTGACATTCAACTTTATTGGATGACCCTGGGCTGTATTCAAGCTTCTATTACAACGGTTTTCAGTCACTCCAAGCATTTTGGAGAAAATTGACCTCTTGACTTTTTCTTTTGGGTTTCTTTTTTACAGGTCCTTTCATTTTTAGAAGTTCCTTTTTTTTTACTTTGGTATTTGAATTCCTTGGCAATTTTAATCTGTTTTAAACAAGCTTTTTAAATGTTTGTGGAGCAGCTTTTTTTTTTTTAGGCGAATAGAATTCAATACAGAACTTCAATTGAAATTGAAACCAAATTACATTTACATAGTCTGAAAAGAATACAGGTAGTCATCCCTTAACAACAGTAATTGGGACCGGAATTTCTGTTGCTAAGCGATGTGGTCATAAAATGTGATGTAAAGTGACTTCATCACTTAATGATGGCAATTCCAGCAGTCCCCATTGCCATTGTTAAGCGAGAATCAAGGGTTGTTAAGCAAGGACCTCCTCGGAACTTCCTGCCAGCTTCCAACAACCAAAGTCAAAATCACGCGAACAATTTCGGGCTGAGGGTGGCTGCTGCCAGGTGGGGGAAGGTGCATGGGTGGGTGCAGTGGCACGTGCAAGTGATTTTGGGCCTGGGGGTGGCTGCTGCCAGATGTGGGAGATCGTGTGGGTGGGTACAGTGGCACATGTGAGCAAGTGATTTCAGGCCTGGAGGTGGCTGCTGCCAGCTGGGAGAGGGTGCACGGGTGATCACTGAACAAGTGGTCAGTAAGCGAGCACTACTTGTATTCTCTTTCACATTCTGTTTTTGTTGGAATGTGTTTTATGCCCATAGATATTTAATATTCAGGACTGAAGTCCTTGCTAAAATATGATTTTGTATGCTTAAGAAAGGCATGGATCAGTTTTGTTACATTTTTGTTTTGAAAAATGTAAAAAAAAAAGACTTTCTATTTTCTTAAGCAATACTGGGCCCTTTCAGAAGGAGCTTTCTTCTTGCTATTAGCGGAAAATATTCATTGAATGCTGCTTCTTGAGTGTGTGTGTGTGTGTGTGTGTGTGTGTGTGTGGCCCATTTCTTGTGTTGTGAACTAAGTGACACATGAATAATTACTTCCTGTAATGGTATGTAGGAATGACCTTGGGAGAAGGGGGAAGAGATACTGCCTAAGGAATGATCAGATAAGAGAGGGCACAGCCCACAGCTGCATAATGGAAAGAGAAAGGAACTCAGAAAGGAACCTCTCCAACTTACTAGGGTGTAAAAGAGATGGCGGGAGATTTGTACTTTCAGACTTGCAAGATTCTGTTAATGTAGCTTTACAATAAAGTA